TAAGTTATGGTCTGAGGGTCAGAGCACACTGTAAATTGGATAAACAGTTTGTTCCTTGGAAATTTAAAAAATGTTACTTGTGCACCATGAACTATTCATGAAATTTTTATCATCTTAATTGTTAGTGTTTCTAACCGGATCGGTGGTATCCGAAACATTCAGTACTGTGTCGGTGGTGTGTACAATGACAAAAATGTGTTTTTCACCATTCAAACTAGCAGTTGTTCAACCACATTTCATAGCACCACATAGTACCACAGTTAGAGCAGAAAACAAAAGACCTAAAAAAAATCCAACTCTCGACTTGGACCAAACTGAATAAAATGCTATTTTTGTGCTCCTAGATTGCCATTGGGTGAGTCTGCAGTACTCATTTAGACACCTGTTTCTCTGTCTGCATGAAAACTGAAGCAACTTTCATTCCTGTGTTTTTGCTTCCACCACTATGAGGTTCTTCCTTAATTAATGGCGAGGCCTTAACACGTTTACGGCTAGCGGAGAGCTTTTGTTTCCCAGTTGCTGGTGACTGTATTTCATTACAGAGATACAATGAAGGAGACAAGTTCATACCTGATGCCCAGACGCTGATATTTAGATGTAACACAAATAAATACAAGTCAAAGACTCAACTCCAAAGTCTCTCCCTTAAGGCGAAAGTACTGCTCTTGCCACAACATGTGCACGAGCTCAATGCCACAGTCAGCCTTCATGCATTAGCCTACGCTAAGCACACAAGGTGCTTTCCTCTCTCAAACACTTTCTTTTGAGGTTCAGTAATACATCTGTGGATTTCATGACAGTGCATTCAATAGGAGCTTTGCTAAGTACACAGTGAAATCAGCTAAGATGAGGGTCATAAATGGGTGATTCTTCAGTTAGATGCACTTTTGACTACTTGAAATCTTGAAAAAATGAAACTTCTTCAATCTACATTTCACTGGGTGGATTTTTAAATGTGTGTGATAGTTTATTTTTTGGAGAAAGCATTTAACAATCACTGATATACTGTTTAATAACCAGATATCACTTGCTGACTTACACTCTTAAAAATAAAGGTGCTTCAAAAGGTTCTTCAAGCGATGCCATAGAAGAACCATTTTTGGTTCCACAAAGAACCATTCAGTCAAAGGTTCTTTAAAGAACCATCTCTTTCTTACCTTTTTGTAATCTTACAGATTTTTGTAATCTTACAGAACAGAAAGGTTCTTCAGATGTTAAAGGTTCTTTATGTAACCATTTAGACAAAAAGGTTCTTCTACGGCATCGTAAAGCACCTTTATTTTAAGAGTGTAGTGAGTGCTTTCAAAATATAAAATCTCATTCGGTTCATAAACTTTTACCTTTGTACTGAACTGTAAACATTCACAATTGCAGCACCGTTTAGAGTCCATGGAGTTAAATCACATTCTCACTGCGAATAAATACCAACAAACCCTGCATAGTGTGAAAATGAGTGGTTACTCATTTGCATTGACATTAGGCCTGTCTCTTCTTTTAAATGAAACACTTCATAGTGGCTATTTTCTGCATGAATAGTGGTTAAGATTGGGCTCCATTTCTGCTGCCGAGATTTTAAGGTTGCAAGATGGGTGACTAATAGTATTACTTTTCAAAGCATGCTAAATAGATCACTTATTATGAAACGTACTATGATTACTTACTATGAAATGTGGCTGTACTACCGTTCATGAAATAAAACAAAAACTCTTACAATAAAGTCTTTATTGTATGGCAGACTGGAAACAACAAACGCATTGCATTAACACCTTGATGACTTCATGGTTTGTTTCATTAGGCATCTTTTTCAAACTTTCAGTATTACTCAACCAAACAGCAGTTCCCTCTCGAGCTTTCACGAGACATCACGGAGATATTTCTCCGTTATGGGAACTCCTTCCCTTCCAACCTTTCCTGAAGTCCTATTGGCTCCCGCCAGTCCAAATGACTGGCCAATTGACGCGAAGTATGCAAACCGCATGCAAATACTGACGAGCTCAAGCGGCAGTATAAAATGCGGTGCACGCGACAATTACGTCAGAATCTTCTACTTCACCTGTTGAATTCACTATGGCAACAATCTGCAAGATCTGCGCGGGACCGATAGCGCCGCCGGATCAGCACGACTACTGCGTCGCCTGCCTGGGCCAGGCCCACGCCGAGGCGGCGCTGGACGAGTCCAACTGCGGGCATTGCGTGAACCTTCCGGCCCTCGTGCTCCGGACCTGCCGTGATGTGGCTCGCGGCCTATTCGGGATGAGGCCCACTGCCGCCAGCGTGCCGCTGGTGGGCCCTCCCGGTGACGGGAGCGTCGTCTTGTCGCTCCACCAACCCCAACGGTCACCCCGTTCCCCGGTCTCACTCCCCGAGGACTGCTTCCGCCCTCCTTCCAACATCGCGGAGTTTGTATCCTTTAGCCAGGAGGAGGGGGATGACTCGATGTCCATCTCGGCCTCGGAGAGGGAGGATTGGGCGGGATCGGAGTCCGATCAGCCGGAGAGCATGGGGCCCCCAGACCTCCAGGAGGAGCTCATGAGGGTTCTGTCAAGGGCTGTCCAGGAGTTGGAGCTTACCTGGAGTCCTCCAGAGGAGCCTGCCAGGAGTAAGCTTGACTCCTGGTATTTCAGGTCCACCCGGAAAGCTGACTCGAGGACGTCGGTCCCCTTTTTCCCCGACGTACACGAGGAGCTGGTAAAAACATGGTCTGCGCCCCAATCAGCGCGCGTCCACTCTGCCACACAGGCCATTTTTTCCCACGTGGATGGGGCGGAGGCCCACGGGTACGTGCGCTCTCCCCCAGTCGAGGAGACCGTCGCGGCGCACCTGTGTCCTGCAGCAGCCAAGACCCTAGGCTCAGACATCAGCCTCCCCTCAAAGCCGTGCAGGACCACCGCCCACCTTGCTAATAAAGCATATGCGTCTGATGGCGAGGCGGCTTCCGCGCTGCACGCCATGGCAGTGCTGCAGGTTTTTCAGGCGAAGCTCCTGCAGGCAGCGGAGGGCGGAGCCCTCATCGCAGAGGCCGTTAAGGATCTGCGCGTGGCGACGGACTTCGCGCTGATGGCGACGAAGCGAGCGGCCCAGGCTGTGGGTAAGGCCATGGGTTTTATGGTCGTCCTTCTGAGGCACCTTTGGTTGAACCTAGCTGACCTCAAAGATGTTGACAGCAGGAAGGCGTGGGGTCCCGGGAGGAAACGCCACGGCCAGCGGAGGAGCCCGCGATGTGACTCTCGCCCGCCGCCACCGGCTAAGCAGTCGTCCTGACGGTCTGAAGAGAGGAGGAGAGTGCGTGAGAGGCCCGGCTCCCAAGCGCCACAAGTTCATGGTTTCAAATGTTTGTGTGTTGGATGTGGGACACGCTAGTCAGCCATATAAACACGCTGCTTCGTCACTTGGAGTCCCTAGGGCTATGTGTCAACACGCAGAAGAGCATTCTCGCCCCGAGTCAATCTATAACATATCTGGGAGCGTGCTTCGACTCGGTGGAGAGCTATCTACCCCCTTCAGAGAGCAGACTGTTTCGCTGTCTGCCCTGTCTTCTGAGTCATCGACCTCGCGTGAGGCGGACGCTCAGACTTCGGTGTGCCCCGTCCCGTCAGGGCTTTTAGGATTTACATTGACCGTTCGGCCAACTTTCGGCATCTCCGTGATGTCTCGTGAAAGCTCGAGAGGGAACGCTCCGGTTACTATCGTAACCTCGGTTCCCTGAGAGCGGGAACGAGACATCACGGTGGTCGCCGTGTTCGCTACTCGATCAGCTAAATCTGTGTTCAGTATCAGATTCTGACGTAATTGTCGCGTGCACCGCATTTTATACTGCCGCTTGAGCTCGTCAGTATTTGCATGCGGTTTGCATAATTCGCGTCAATTGGCCAGTCATTTGGACTGGCGGGAGCCAATAGGACTTCAGGAAAGGTTGGAAGGGAAGGAGTTCCCATAACGGAGAATGTTGTCTCCGTGATGTCTCGTTCCCGCTCTCAGGGAACCGAGGTTACGATAGTAACCGGAGCGTTTCCTGTTGGACGTTTGTGGGCTAATTTGATTGAATATGCCTCAGTATGCTGAGAAATATGAACAAGCACTTCCGAAATACATTTCAGTCTGGGTTTGTGGGTGTTGCAATAAACGTTAAATTAACGTTAAAAGTTTACCCAAAAATTCTGTCATCATTTACTCACCCTCATATCGTTCCAAACCTGTGTGACATTGTGTGGAACACAAAAGAAGATATTCCGAAGAATGTGTCTACTTTTTTGCCCATACAATGAAAGTCAGTCAGTCCAGTGTTGATTGAAGGTTTTTCAAAATACTGTATCTTCTTATGTTATACAGAATTCTCTATTGAAACTATCAAAACACAACCAGCTGAAACCTTTCTGTAGTGCTATGCATTCATATGCATTTCAGAAATAACTTAAGGGTGTGTGGCACAAGACTGTAAGGCCAAACCCTTGCAAACACAACAGTCTTGCAATATTTCACTGTTGACAAAACACACTTTGGTTTTTCTCATGGGATGTTTCTATGCTGTTGTTTCTAAGGATATGACTGAATCCTAGCTACCATAGACATTAATGGGGACATGGTTCCCCACAAATGTTAAATATTTGGCCACGTACTTGACTAAAACATAATTTAGCTCACCATAGTTCAAATATGATAATTTTATGATGTTTTTTCCATTCTGGATTTTGAACAGTTTTTGGGGCTGATTGAATCGCAGTTGCTTTGGCAATTCTGAACAGAAGCTCTCTGTGATGCAGAAAACATACAAATAATAAAAAAAAATCATAATGAATTTAAAATGTATGACACCAACATGTAACTGCATCATGTCACAGATTTACATGTAAATTTACAATCACTTTCAAACTTACTCTCTGTATCTGTAGTTTCGGTGAGTGTTGCTATGTGTGTGTGTGATTGTCATGCTGGTGCTGTAGAACCTGTTTGGTTGCTTCACGTGCATTTATCTGACAGAAACCTCATGACAGAGAGGATGACAGTCATATCCACCTGGAGTTTAGAGGTATCAACATCAGTGGCTGCGGACACAGTCTCATGAACGACATTGGGTAAGTGACTCATTTTCCACTGTCCAGTGCTTATATAGATCATACAGAATCAGAACACCATAATGCAATTTATCATCCTGCATCTTCATCTGATGGGAACTGATAAATTCAGTTACTTGCAAAATATAGGTTTGTCATGTCAAATCAGGCCTAAAGTAGACTGTTCTGTTGTTTAAGCAGCTCCTTTAATATCTCATTGAATATTTGTGTTTGGTGTGGACTGTGCTCTGATTGTTGTTAAAATGTGAGTCTATTGAGGTTTCAGATATTAATACTAGTAGTGAACAGGATAAATATTTTGATCTTTTGTTAAGCTGAAACTTTCAGCACTAACTCATCATCAAGCATCATGTGCAGGCTGTATGAGGAATAACTTACAACTTATGATAGCAATAGAAGCAAGTCTTTGGGAAGCTGTTGTGGTGGTGGGTGGAGCTGAAACAATAAATGATTCCCCCTGCTGATTAAACAAGGCTTTACTGAGCTGAGTAATTATATTGTTCAAATCTTGACCATGAAATCTGAACTATATTGTCAAGACCATCTGACCGTTCTAATCGCAGTCTGAATAATGTGCTTTAGAGAGGCAAAACTGAGAAAAATGGAAGACAGACATTTAGGGAGAAAAAAAGGCAAGAGAGATACAGAGTGACCTTGTATTTATCTCCTCATCTTTCTTTCATCTGAACAAACTGGTTCTCCTCATTCTCCACAGTCCATCCATTCCTAAAACATTCCTGACACAAACCACACATACACAATCTGTTACAGAGACAGAATACCAAGTTAAAACATTTCTTTTTTAATCTGTAGTACTTCTGCTTGTATATAAAGTGCGTTAGAAATGAAATCTATTATTATTATTAAAAAGCACTGGTCATGTTGAGGCTGTACTTTGCACATATGCACGTTTTCTGCAATTCTTTTGTTAAAAAAACTATAATAATAAACATCTCTGCTGGCCTATGAAATGTTAGCTCAAACCTTAGTGAGAGAATAAAGATGCCATAATGTCATAAAGCCACAGCCCATGTGATTGATTGCAAGATTGCAGACCTTAAAAGGGAGCATCATAAAGCATCATTTGTTTATATTTTGTTCTAAACAATGTGGTTTGCAGCATGGAATAGTATCTTCCTATCTTATTTACTTCTCACTGTGAGATCTATGGAACATGTGATTAACAGCATTACAGCCAATTACATCTCTGTCTTTGAAAAACTGAAGGTGGTTCCTGACTTTTCCCTGCCACTTCCTCTTTCCCTTATTTAATATGCAATGTTTGTTATTTTTAGTTAATATTTAAATAATTGATATTGATAAAAACAACAACAATGCAATCAATCAATCAATTCATCTTTTAAAAACGTATAATACAGTGGTGCTTAGACTTGCCTTAAATTCAAATTACAATTAGTCATTGTACTACCTTTGTATATTCCTAAAAATACTAAAATAAAATGTTTGTTTGAATGGCTTTAGATCAGTCATTTCCCTTAGAAATGTATAGCCTACTTAAAAAAAAAAAAAAAAAAAACTCAAATGAATATCCATATAATACAGTCCTAAATATAATGATAAAGATTACTTCAAGTCTTGTTGCTTTTTGTTTTGACAGGTTTCCTGAAAACCGGTATTCATGACATGTCAGTTGCATTTAAAGAAGTGAAGACATGATGGTTGGTACCCTCTCACCAAAATAACAATTTAAAGATTTTGTCATTTTTTAACAAAATTGGCACAGAAAATATTCCTAATACCTGACAGACGTAGTCAGATTTATTTAGCCAATCAGAAGACAGGTCATGTCTGACTCCATGGTTAGGTCTGCTGGAGGTTTCAACAAGGCTAACAGTAATTTACAGCGCCTTTAATTGCATTTCACACATTCATTATACTTCTGATTACAACCTTGCCATGGCATAGTACATAATTTTTTACTTTTGCAAATAATATTATGTATTTATGAGATTATTAACAAAACACTAATGTATGGTAGTAAGTCACCTTGTTCATGTGCAGAATGGAGAAACAAAGATTCATGTCCACTCAGAGAGTGTAACTTTGGAGGACACAGAAAAAGGAGGGGCCGTCGTCACACGAATCACGAATCCAGCAATTAATCTGAAGGAAGGTAAAGAACTCACATGTATCCTATATGATGCCTCAATCATATAACACGCAAACTTAATGATAATAATGGATTCTGTAACATACCTTGTCCTTATCCTCTCTTTTTGTCTCTTACAGATGATCAGCTTGTTGCTGCAACCATTCATCTGGACCACCTCAGTAAAGATGAAGTGCTAAACTTGATCAGAATCCTCAAGTCCTATGACAAGAACCTTGAACTTAAGACAGCAAAGGATCTGAAAGCAGGACTGGTAAGCAACCTTGTGAATTAAAGAAAGATAAAAGGAAAAATAGAGACTAAATAGGTCTCACGATGTCTTCATCTCATCTTTCTCTTTAGTCTCTTGGTGATCTCCGATTAAACAGTGAGGCAGGACTTCAAGCACCAGGTGTTCAGGTTAATGGGCTGAAAGGACAGATAAATGCCCCAAGCCTTAAGAGTGGGATCTCAACCCCAGCAGTAAATGCAGAAATGCCACAGATTGAGCTAAAGGATGCCACACCTAACTTCAGCCACCGAGGGTTCAAACAACCAACTTTTGGCATGTCTGCACCAAATCTCAATGGAGCAGGTCTGGATGGTACATTAGAAGCACCTGATGTCAGTGTCTCTACCCCTACTCTTAACACCCCAGATGTTTCTGTTAATGTGGACAAGCCTGAACTGAAGACCAAAACAGCCAAGTTCAAAATGCCCACCTTCAGTCTACACGCTAAAAAACCAAGGATTGATGGTGATGTGAATTTAACTGCCACAGACATAAACGCTGACCTAAAAACCCCTGATCTGAATCTGTCAGCCCCAAAGATTAATGGAGAAATTGGCACCCCTGAAGTAGACATGACCTTGCCAAAAACTGAGCTCAGTGGTCCAAACCTGGACATAAAAAAACCAAAAGCTAATATTGAAGCTCCCTCTGGCAAGATTACATTTCCTAAATTAAAGAAAGCAAAAACTACAAAAGTGAAAGTACCAGAGGCGAGTGTTGATGCAAATCTTTCTGCCCCAAAATTAAATGCAGATGTTAGTGCACCAAATGTTGACATTGATCTGCCAAGAGCCAATCTTGAAGCTCCAGATGTAGACATTAAAACTCCTGATGCCAATATAAATGCTCCCTCTGGCAAGACAAAATGGTTAACATTTAAGAAACCCACATTTGGGCAGAAGGTTAAAGCACCAGAGGTTGGCTTAGATGCCAATGTCTCAACACCTGATTTAAGTCTCTCAGCACCAAAGATAGATGGGGATATCAGCATCCCAAATGCAGATGTCAATTTACCAAGGGCTGATGTTGATGTAAAAGCACCTGATGTAGACATTAATGCTCCGTCTGGAAAGCACAAGTTCCCCACTCTTAAAATGCCAAAGCTAAACTTACATAAATCAAAGCTGAAAACTCCAAATCTAAATGCAGGGGTACAAACACCAGACTTGGACATGTCAGCTCCTGGGGTAGATATTAATCTGCCAAAAGCTGAATTAAATGGACCGAATCTAGATGTTAAGACCCCAGACCTCAACCTCTCTGCACCAGATCTAGATATTAAAACTCCAGCTGTTGATGTGACGACACCAGATATTGACATAGAAACTCCATCTGCAAATTTAAAGAAGCCCCATGTTAAACTGCCAAAAATAAATCTATCTAGGCCAAAAATGAAAGGTCCAGATGTAGACCTCAATGCACAGGCAGATCTCCATGGACCGAACCTAGACCTGAAAGCTCCAGATCTCAGTCTTTCAGCACCCAAAGTGGATGGCAAATTTATTGCTCCAGATGTGGATCTGAACTTACCAGATACTAATGTCAAAAGTCCAAATGTAGACCTCGAAGTCTCAGACATTGACATAAATGCTCCTAAAGTAAATATCGATGCCCCCTCTGGAAAAGCGAAGCTACCTCACTTTAAGATGCCTAAATTTGATCTTTCTGGACCTCGGGTTAAAACCCCAAATCTAGATGCACCTGATGTAGATGTGAACATCCCCACAGCAGAACTCAAAGGACCTAATGTAAATGTTAAAGCACCCAATCTTAGTGTTTCCACACCTAAATTTGAAGGTGACATTTCTACTCCCTCTTTAGACATTGGTTTGTCAAAAGCCAACTTGAATGCTCCAACTGCAAACATTGGGGGAAATGTAAAGTCACCAAATCTCAAACTCTCCACTTCAGATGTAGACCTAGACTTGCCAAAAGCAGAGCTTGAAGGACCTGATGCTACCCTTAAAGTCCCAGATGTTGACATTAATGCGCCATCTGGAAAAATGAAGTTGCCACATTTCAATTTGCCAAAACTGAATTTGTCTGGGCCAAAAGTTAAAGGGCCTGAGCTGGATGCTAAAGCAGATCTAGATCTCTCAGTTCCCAAACTCAAAGGAGAATTAAATGCACCTAGTGTTGACCTAAATCTTCCCAAAGCTGAGATCAGTGCGCCTGATGTAAATGCAACTTTACCAAAAGCTGAGGTCAGCGTTCCCAATGTAGATATCAAGTCGTCCCCAAACTTAAAGGCTCAGTCTGGAAAGCTGAAACCGATTCCATTTAAGGAACTAAAAGTTGAACTTTCTGGTCCAAAAGTGAAGACACCTGAGATTGACTTAAATACAGAAGCTCCTGATCTCAGCCTCTCAGCTCCAACAGTTGATGCATATGTCAAAGTGTCAGATGCTGATATAAACCTTCCCAAATCAGATGTTGACATCAGTGCTCCCAAAGGAAAGCTGAAATTCCCAACACTCAAAAAGCTGAACTTGTCTGGTCCAAAAGTAAAATCTCCTGATGTTGACATTGCCGCTGATGTACATGGACCAGATCTGAACCTATCTGCACCTGGGGTTGGTACTCCTGATGTTGACGTGAGTCTACCAAATGCTGGGGTTGATTTAGATGTTTCCACAGCAGACGTTGACATCAGTGCTCCTAAAGGAAAGCTGAAATTCCCAGCACTCAAAAAGTCCAACCTATCTGGTTCAAAAGTCAAATCTCCTGATGTTGACATTGCCGCTGATGTACATGGACCAGATCTGAACCTATCTGCACCTGGGGTTGGTACTCCTGATATTGATGTGAGTCTACCAAAAGCTGGGCTTGATGTAGATGTTCCCACAGCAGACGTTGACATCAGTGCTCCCAAAGGAAAGCTGAAATTCCCAACATTCAAAAAGTTCCACCTATCTGGTCCAAAAGTCAAATCTCCTGATGCTGACATTGCTGCAGATGTAAGTGGACCAGATCTGAACCTATCTGCACCTGAGGTTGGTACTCCTGATATTGATGTGAGTCTACCAAAACCTGGGCTTGATGTAGATGTTCCCACAGCAGACGTTGACATCAGTGCTCCCAAAGGAAAGCTGAAATTCCCAACATTCAAAAAGTTCCACCTATCTGGTCCAAAAGTCAAATCTCCTGATGCTGACATTGCTGCAGATGTAAGTGGACCAGATCTGAACCTATCTGCACCTGAGGTTGGTACTCCTGATATTGATGTGAGTCTACCAAATGCTGGGGTTGATGTAGATGTTCCAAGCATCAACGCTGAAGTTGAGGGCTCCAAGCATAAGGTAAAATGGCCTTTCAAATGGGGAAAATCTACTGAATCAAAGGATGGGGATATAAACATTAAAGCACCAGAAGTAAATGGTACCACTGGAGAACTTAAACTCCCCAAAAATATACCATTGTTCAAGCCTCACCCCCTACCTGACATCAACATTGACAGTATCTTACCAAAAATCACTGGAACGGTTGACCTCAGTACTGACCCTACAAAAACAACTACTGACGAGGTTGTCTCGGTCTCGTCAGTCAAGGCAAATCTTAAAGCTTCTTCTCCATCTGCTGGGGTCAATGGACAGACAGCTACTGTAGATATCCGGGAAAAGCTGAGGTTGTCTAATGCACGTACTACAAGCCCAGATTTCGGCATATCTTCAGAACCAGGCAGCCCTACAAAAGTGAATAGAGGAACATTTAAAGTCACAAAGCCTGATGCTGAAAAGGCCTACCCAGTAATTGATACAACTAGCAACGAAGATGACGCCAAGATTACCCTCAGCTTGAACAACATGCTTGGTTTGCCAACAGATTAAACTTTAAATAAAACCAGGAGCCTTGTTAGTGTAGTTCCATACCCACTGCATATAGGTAATACATATGTAGAACAATATGTAAAAAAATTAAAAACACCTCCAACTGTTTACTTTTAAAATGGGTAGCGTATTAACAGACAAGCATTACAGAATTTGACAGAGATGTAATTATTTTTATATTCAGTTTTATATATATATATATATATATATAATTGTATAAAGTTCTCTTTAAATGTGCAATGATTGTATCTTCTGAAAACATGAAGGAAAATGACAAATCTGTAATTCTGTCTATTTTGTCACTGTTTTATGTAATTTTATCTAATATATAGTCTTTTGTTTACACTTATTTCCATTCCAGTTATATACATATATATATATATATATGTCAGTATTGCAAATTGGAAAAAAATAACATAAAAAATAAGTCAAAATTTTACATCTATAAAATATCACATGTGTGTCTTTGTGTGTTACAAGAAGCATGTGTACCTTTATTTGCAAGGGCACTAATCTCTCAAAATACTTTAATAAAATTTGATATGAACTTTGCATGGATAATTCATTTTAACACTCACTCCCGGTTTGATTATGTGAGACCTCTTTGTGTGTTACAAGAAGCATGTGTACCTTTATTTGCAAGGGCACTAATCTCTCAAAATACTTTAATAAAATTTGATATGAACTTTGCATGGATAATTCATTTTAACACTCACTCCCGGTTTGATTATGTGAGACCGTTATACTGCATTCCTTTTTTTTTTTTTTTTTTTTTAAAGATCCTCAAAGGATAACAGTGAAAAACAGATGCAGTGCAGCAATAAATCATTTACAATGATTTATTTAGGCTAGTTATTCACCACTGACATTCAAGCGATGCCAATAGTTCATAATATATTGATGAAAAAAATACTTTGTATTTACACTATAATGGTAATTATAACCAATCTTCAAAAACTGTACATATAAAAGTTTTATTTTTAAACAGAGAAACCCTGATGCACACAAACAGGCCTTAATTTTTAGACACAGGAAATAAAAAGCTAGGTAGAGTACATAGCACAACACCAAACACTTTTTAAAAGAGTCTTGTTTAGAAGAGGTAATGTTGTCACATTCTACCTTCCTACCTGCATTGTCATTTACATTTGACCACACATTTTGAAACAGTCGCACTCTGCATTTTTTAAACTAATATTTTCAATAGTTAAATTTAAAACGTCTCAGAATGATTAAGCAAGTCCAGTCAACTTTCAGATCAATTGTTCTCTGCAGTTATACTGGTATTTTACCTTTCTAAGGCATGCTAAATCTTTCTTAAAGTCTCAAAACACTATAAATAAAGAAAAAAAATTAAGCGCCATTCCTACCAAACATGATATTAAATTCAAGTGCTCAGTGCAATGGGAATTTTGATATATACCACAATGTTTTACATGCTCAAATTCAAATTTTGAAATTTTAACCGGCCACTTCACAAACAGACACCGCACAATGAGTCTCTTTTATAGAACATAAGCAGAATGAATTTCAGTGTATAAAGTCTGCAAAAGCCGTCTTAAAACTCATTTAGATATTGAGCTCAGTAACTCGACATCATATATGTTACTAATTTAAGGAAACTTCATAAGACTACCAACAGTGGCACACTGCCAGCAGATGACCGATTGTATTAAAAATAAATTAAATGCTGTATTACTGGAACCACAGAGAATTTCCAGGCAGAATCTAAATGAGTAGTCACATCTGAGCGACCTTTCCGTTTTCTCCTGAAGTGCTGGCGTGCTGCTGCATATAGCCTATTTTCTATTCACCCTTTTGTCACATAACTAATACAGTTAACCAGTCTGTGACATTTGGACTGATGAAATCAGCCAAAGGTTAACAAAAAAAATTTAACTACATCCAGTGTACTACCTTGTAAACACTGTCTTTGCACCACCACTGTTCAGTAATGTGTGTTCTGACCTGCTGTCCATTACTGCAGTCATGAATTTCAGTTACTACGAACTCGTTTCTCCTTTGAGGTCCAGTTATTGTGAAGTCCCAGCTAATGAGCCTGCTGCCAGCGTGAGGGCCAGTCGTTCTCCATCCACCTCTGGAGCAATCGAAGCACATCAATGCGCTGGTAGAGCTGGCAGAGTTCGGTGAGCTCCGTGACAGGTTTCTGGTTGTAGCGCAGGAGGAACTCTTGAGTGGGACTGTGGTAGGTGGGACCATGTGTGCGCTGCTCTAGAAGCGTGAGCTCATCATAGCTCATTCCCCAGCGGCTTGCAAAGTTCTTCCAGTTTTTGACAGTGCAGTGAGTCGGATCCAGCTTCAGCCTTAGAGTGTACAGAAGGTCTTCGTCGTTCATCAGGTCACTGATTTTGGGTGGAGGGGTGGAACATAAACACTCCTTACAGGGCTTATGTTCTTTACTGAAGTCTAGAGAGTGGGGAAAGAAAAGCAGACATTGCATAAAATCAGGATATCTCAAAAAATGAATGCAAACAGTAACAATAGCACTCCAAAACCCAATTTACAAACGATTCTTAACCCTCTAAGGGCTGTTCATCTATGGAGCGTATTTTATTTTAAACCCTTTCTGTCACCTGATGGACACTTTTAAAATTAAAATGAAATGAAATTACCATTACAACCAGTAGTACTGAAGTACGAAGTATAGCAAGCGCAGAAAGTCATTAAATAAACCCAGACCCCAACAGTCTAGAAGGGTTAATAACTATGAACTATTTTTGACCTAGTTAACTACAAATGAAATAAATTAATTGTTAATGTTATAATAATTAAATAATAATGCATTAAATACCTTCAAATATTTTTAGATTTAACTTAAAAACTAATTTTTTTCAACATTTCTTTAAAAAGGACACATGAAAAAGAGTGCTTTACTTTTTTATCTTTAACTAGAAGCTGATAAATGTATTTGGCCAACACAGACTTGTTGCTGTTGTAGGTTTGCTGCTCGGCATTTACACTGCTTCACTTAATGCACAGGTCTATTTTGACATCGGCTTGTCAGATGTTGTGTTCCGTCCGTTTCTACAGTTATCACTGTCAGTCATATCCAGTGTTGCCAACCCTCACGCATCTGACACTGTTCTCAGGCCACATGTCCATTTTCTCACTATGCGCCACTGATGTGATGTCTGCTTGCATGAGTTCTTGTTTTTTATATTTAGAACACAGTCAAGCAACATCAGAAGAGAAAGAAGCAAATGATTAAATTACATATTCGTAAAATCACCAGTCACTTGCTTTGTTCCTGAATGAATCAGTCCTTTTTAACAAATCAAACAATTCAATGACTCAGTCGTTAGTCAGTGACTTGCCACCACCTACTAATGGTTTAGTTTCATACTTAGAAACATAATTCATATAGTGCAATTCTTATGGAGATCTATAAGTAAATATATTTATTATAAAGAAACAGACCACTCCCCTTTCTTACTCCATGCTGAACTCAAAAGTTGGCAGCCCTGCTAAGCAATAGCTCGCGGAATAGTTTAGCGGATTCACTCACATAATTTTCTTACACTGACGTTTGTCACTCCTGAAACAGCATACGTGGACGTTTGGTCCTCTTAGCAGCATAAAAAACAAAACTTTTCTTCAAACTGTGAATGAATTATATAGAGAAACCAAGCAAAGGGTGCTCACTCACAGTGCAACTGACTGAGCTTATTCACACGAAAACTCTTGTAATCAATGACTAACTACACACTGCAAAAAAAAAGATTTTATATATATATATATATATATATATATATATATATATATATACAAACCCAATTCCAAAAAAGTTGGGACACTGTACAAATTGTGAGTAAAAAAGGAATGGAATAATTTACAAATCTCATAAACTTATATTTTATTCACAATAGAATATAGATAACATATCAAATGTTGAAAGAATTTAAAATCAACTTATTTTCCCCTTAAAATGATACATTTTCTCAGTTTAAACATTTGATATGTCATCTATGTTGTATTCTGAATAAAATATTGAAATTTGAAACTTCCACATCATTGCATTCTGTTTTTATTCACAATTTGTACAGTGTCCCAACTTTTTTGGAATCGGGTTTGTGTATATATATATATATCAGGGCTGGGTTTTGACACAAATTTCACGATTCGATTTTCAATTCTCATTCACAAGCTTGCGATTCGATCCAATATCGATTATTTTGGATATATATCAGGTACAGTACATGCCAAATTTTCTCAAGGAAAAAAATCTCTCAACTAATGCTGTAAAATATACATGAGTCAGTTGGTACTACATTATAATATTTGAGGTTAAAATTGACTGATTTTTTAAAATTGCACTTAAAGTTTTTAAGATAAAGTTACAATTACATAATATTTCTACTTTAATTTATATATATATATATATATATATATAAACATAATGGTGGCTGTCATAAAAACTTGATGGATTTATTCAAACATAAATAAAAATTTATAATGAATATGTTATATGGTGCATATATTTAGCAAAATGCCCCTCTCCACTGTTTTACTCCACCGAATATGTTTTTTCTGAGGTAAATGTGACCTTACGTGACATTGTTTACAAGCTGTTATATTGACGTCTTTGCGCGACTGAAACACTGACTGAGCGATTACATGACAGGACACAGATTGTAAAGTTGCACTCTTTCTTTTAACTTACCTTCAGATGTTTAGTCATGTTTATTTTGTGCTGAAACTGGTATTAATGTGAAGGAGATGATCAGTTCACGTGCGCTACACGCTGCCGCGTCTGTAGAACTGAGGCGCTACAGCGATCCGTCACTCCACATTAAACAGCGCCAAAACGGTATTTATTGCAGCCCTAATATATATATATATATATATATATATATATATATATATATATATATATACACATATATACATAAATTACATTATATAATAATTTCTGTTGTCAATAAATTTAATGTATGATTTCAGTTTAGAAAAATTATAGAATTCTAAAACTTTTTAAAACTGTAGATTTACTGTTAGCAATGTACAGTGTATTATTACCATATGCTCATTTGCCCCATTCTGATAACACTGTGTCCAATTTGTGGTGACAGTTGTGTACAGTAGGAATGGTAGTATTCTACTATTTACACATACCTGATGATACTGAAGATGATGGAATAAATTCACTACTGTCATTTTCCACAGGCTGGGTGATAAAACAGGAGAGAGAGAGAGAGAGAGAGATGGTAAGGTGTATGTATAACTGAAGTTAAAGATTCAACAAAGAAGACTCAAGTATTACACACTGCACAAATACATTAAAGGGGACATCAGATGCCAATTTTCCACAAGTTGGTATGATTC